CCTTTAGAAACTGTAAAAGGGTAGTGACCATAGAGCAATACTCATCCCAAAATGCAAATAGGTTGGACCTTTCTTGATTCTCTGATTTAAAAATGGCGAATAGATCCGTAATTTCCGTCAGATCTGTTGTTATCTTTCTCACGCTCTCTCGTGCGCTCTCTTTGTCGCTCTCCACCGCTCGAACGCAGTCCACAATCTTGTGCAAAACGGGTTCTTCTGGGATCTTTTCATCCCGTGACTCGTACCAGAGAATAAAAGCATCCCACATGAGACGGAAGAACACTTCTAAACAGAGCTTGTGTGCCCTTATTCCTCGGTTGTAAGATTTCCCTTTCATTAAAGCGGACGTCGAACCAGCAGCGTATACACCTGACTCAATCAAGAGGTCATCAAGTCCAGAATCAGCGAATTTCTTCCCTAACAGTGAAAGAAAGTTCAGAACAACATGAAATCCGCCCATGCGTACCACTACGTTGGAGAACTCGTTAGGAAATCTCCACTGTATTTCCTTTGCCTTGCTATATATGGCAAGGTCAAAGGTTACCACGGCGTCGGCTTGACCCATCGCGGCACTTATCTTCTGTGCATGTTTCAGCACTGTGTATATGGTCGAAAAGTCATTAGATGATCCATCGATCATTGGACAGTAGCCAATATTGCTCACTACTGGCATCTCAGGATAGAGAATGGCGTTAAATCCTGCCCAACTTGGAATTGATTGCTTTTCAAAAACATCTGCAACGACAGCTTCTCCAAATTTCTTGGGACAGAGCCGAAGAAGAGTCCAGATGAAATCAGCTTTTCGAGCGGTGCCTGTTTCATTGTTCAAATCATCATACCACTTCATGTCAACAGAGCCAACGTGATCAGTTACAGCTGGACGTCTTCCTCGAACTGAACACTGTTCGATGTCGTACACCGTACCCGTTGCCTGTAATGAACGTCGCTTTGGTCTCTGTTCTACTGGGTTGGGAGGTGGATCTGGACCAAAGGTTCTGTTCTGATAAATAACCATGGTGGTTGCATGCGTAGTATTCTTCCCGTCGATAGTCTCCTCATTTAAATCATTATTGTCGGCGGCAATCTGTACAAACGAACCAGCCTTTATTACAGTTGGTATGACAGTACCGAACTCTTCAGCCTTGGCAAGAACGTCCTCTGCAATACTTGTATTCACTGCACGCATCTCATCGTAGGAAACGCAATGTCCCATTCTGTTTAGCAGTTCGATAAGCCGCTTAGATGTTGTCAGATGATGAACACATATAGCTAAGCTGGTGTGCTTAGGAAGCTTAACACGTCCCTTGGAATTGCAATGGATGATATCTTGTGCGATACTGAGGATTTGTCGTTCGTCTTCAATTGCGGTAGACTGGTTCAACGCATTAGAGGGTCTAGCCCGCTTATCTGAGACCACGAGCTGCTTGATTAGTAAATACAGAGAGTCCGGGATGAGTTGTCTGGCGGTCTCCATGCTGACGTCTTGAGTATTTAGTGGTTTGGTGTTAATACCTGTACATTTCTTTATCTCTTGTTTGATTAAGCTTGCCACACGACGTATTTCACTTGACTGTGGTGTTTCATTGCCGTTGTTGACGCTTACGTTTCCATTTTCGGGGCTCTGAAATACAGCCCATGCGTTTAGAACATCTTGAATGTTAACGGTACTTGCATAGACAAGTTCAGATTTACTGCGGTCGGCTGGCTGATGGAAGACAATCGAAGTGGAAAAATGCTTTTGCAAGCGTATTTTTAGATTTTGAGTGGTGTAACTTTCCGGACTATCAGCGCCTTTTTGTGTGAGAATTTCCTGATATTTGCTTAATAGAGACATCATATCGTATGCTCTGCCTTGTTCGATACCAGCAGCTAGATCAAATACAAGGTCTTGAAAAGCCCTTTCGTGAGGTGAATCTAGGGCTTCTCCGTTGGGCAGGCTAAGCGTGGTTTTCTTACTGACATAAGTAGCGAAACAGTTCTTATGGTACTTTGCCTCTGCTGCGATGAGGTCTCCGTTCACACCATTTAAAATGTGTAACATAGAGCTATCTCCTTTTCTTTCAGCCGCTATTCGGATGCTTTCACAGGCCTCGAATGTACATAGATTGATAAGATCTCTGTTCTTTTTATGAGTCTTATTTCTACAAATGAAACACCTCGACCAATCAACTGGGGCCATTGCTGAACGAAAAGTCCTACTAGACATGACGTCGACTTCCTTTTGCCGGCTTGTATGCTGTAAAGAATCGCTAGGCGTTTTATAGCGAATATTTTGGTCACTTGTGTATGATGCATAACAAGTTGAGTGCCAATGAATTCCCGTGTCGGCGTCATGACTCACAAACCTTGCCCGCACTTCCTCGTCACGACGCTGTTCCGTTGCCTTTATCGCTTTTTCAATAGAGTCTTCCTTTGCCTTTCTAAGTGGTTCCCCTGGGCGGTCAGTCTGGCAAATAATACACAATGTGCTACGGGACAGTTTTCTTTTTCTCGATTTTGGAAGTAACGGTATGGCGAAGCCCTCAGGAAAGGAACCTTTATCAGCCATTCTATAATCTAATAACGAATTTTAAAGTAATGTGTCACATAAAAAAAAAATCAAAGAAAAAAAGAATATGGCAACCAAATCTAAACATTTTGAAATATTGTTTGACATTGTGTTCTAAAGGGACATGAAAAACGATTGTCGATTGTTGAGGTTGTTTTTTTTTATGTTATAAAAGTATTAGTTGAAGTAAGTAAGATACAGCTATTCTATAAATGTACTTACAGAGATTGCACTGCTTCGGCCATGGAGGCAGCCATGTTGGATGATATAGCCTCGTTTTGAAGATTCTTGAAAAAGAGGCTACAGCCTCATTTCAGTTTCCCACAAAAGTAACGATGACACTTGCAAAAATGAGCTAACACACTACAGAATACCCGCAATTTCTAACCACAAAATCTATTATTAAAGTATACTAAAGTATAATATACAGTAGATGCCTTAAACAGATCGGCTCCTGCTTTTAGCTACAACTCAATAATGCAAAAAGGCCCGAAAAAATGTAGAATTAAGTCATGTAGCCATAAATTACAATAAATAACAGTCTTATTTACGGAAGAAGACTTCCTGGGACAATAACAGCTATTGTTGATTTAATAGCCATTTTCTAGTACTCAAAGGTACTGAAATATAATTTTTGGCCTGTCTGAGGTCACGTGCTCGGTCACGTGACCTTGCTTTGCAATGTTTGAGCATGATTGGGATAAAATTTTGTTACGAAGTAACGATATTAGAGGTTTTTATTGATAAACAATTGCAGATAACGCCGTAAACAGAAGCTACCGGAATGAGCCTCGTTTTCATGTTGACCCGGAAATGGGAAAAAAATTGTCAATCTTTTATTGTTTCAGTTTCAATAAGCTACAATTTGTCTTAAAGTGTGTAATGCACCAACAGTAAGTATAAAATATCAGAATATCTATGAATAATTAACACATTTAAGGTAATGAAGACGTTAAAATAGGCTAGTAAAAGCTATAAAACACCATTTTTGACCTTGTAGCTGTCACGTGTTCGGTCACGTGACCTCAATTTGAGCAATCTGAACATGATTAAGATTCGTGCTACAAAGGTGTAACGATATTTGTAGATTCAGGCCAAAATAAACGTTTAATTTACGCATTATCAATGGTCTTTTATCTTAGCCTCGTTTCCATGAATTTAAAGGGGTGACCTATTAAAATAGCCGCTTAACTTGTGATCTATACCACAAATCAACTCTACTAACTAGCTGACATTAATCAGCAGGTCTTGTTCTATCAAAATCCGCTATCAAACCTTTTCTGACCCGATCATTGTACGAAACCCTTCTTTTAGGGTCCTGGCTTCCGGACTATAAGCTTATATTAGCGTCAGCTCTCCACTTGTCAAAGTGCTCTGATTTTGATTCCAGGTATTTTTTTTAATTAATGTTACTCCAAACTTTTTTGCCGCAGTTGTACCACTGGTGCAGGTATAGTAAGTTCAGACGGCTCCTCTGGTGCAGGGCACGGCGGAAATGGGGGGCGTGGTAGAGACCAATCACGTGTTGGAATAGCCTACGGTCACGTGTATGAACCTGAGCATTTTGGATGCAGAGGAGGTGGATCGGGAGGACTGGGCGGTGGTATAATACGAATGTCTGTGAATGGGACTTTGCAGATTGACGGAACAATCAGTTGCAACGGTGCAAGTGGTCAGCAGGATCGTTCTGGAGGAGGGAGTGGGGGTAGTATTTGGATCGAAGCAAATTTAATAAAGGGATACGGAAAGGTCCAGGCAAACGGAGGAAATGGAAATACAGAATCACGGTAGAGAAACCTTTTTAAAACATTTATGTTACAGACTATATGATATTTGTTTCGTTTATTATACGTTTCTGATACAGGAACAACTTTTAGAATCAAGTACTGTTATTCTAATGAACCCCATCATAATACTAATCAGTTGACATCATTTACTGTGTTTCAGTCATAATATATTTCATGGCGGAGGAGGAGCAGGCGGACGAATAGCTGTTTACTTCAAAAGTAACAGAACCTACAGCGGGGTGTTTCAATCCCTTGGGGGAGATGCTAAAGGAGATGCCCTCCCTGGAGGCGCCGGTACCGTCTTTCTATACCACCTTATCCATAAACACCGCACACTACTTGTAAGTAATGCCGGCAGGAAAGCGATTCCAGTAGCTCACCGTATTATTAGTGACTATTCCAAACCGGAACTGATATCTGGAAAAACATGGCTTCTACCAAGTTCTGGAGAGCACAACTTTTCTGGTGATCAAAATTATCATTTCGAAGAACTGCAGATTTATGGTGGAGCGCAGTTAGCTATATTAACGGAGCCACATAATCGGTCTGCTTCAATTTTCTTTCGAAATATGATCGGCGATCGCTCAGGTACTATTCATGTTAGCTATAACCAAACGCTGGATTTGATCCGACCAAGTATTGATTTACCGTTTAATGTTCGAGTGTACCGCGGAGGATTCCTCGGTCTCGCGCCTTCGACTGAAATTCATGGAGTTGAAATCCACGTGGATGGCGTAATATCGTACATCAAAAATTTAACGCTACACCATGGTGGTCTTTTGTCTTTAAACGAAGATTCGCGTACTGGAAACGAAGCGGTGATAAATGATTTCAAATTTGAATTTATCCGCGTGCAGTTCGAGGGAGTCATTAAAATGATCTCGTCTCCTGTCTCACATAGTGGAATGAATTTAACCGCGCGAGTGTTACACATTGAAGGAGGAGGCAAAGTCGAGGGCAGTGATCTAAGGATCCTTGCTGAGAATATTAGCATTAACACCGAAGGCATCCTGACGGTAAGCGGGCACGGGTACAAGCAATCTGACGGGACGGGACAAGGTGTGCATGGGAAGATCAACCGCGGACTTGGGCCCGGAAATGGGGTCGCAGCTTCTGGTGGAGGACACGGAGGGACGGGAGGGCGCGGAAAGAGTACACCTAAAGTTGGAGTACCCTATGGGAATATGTATGAACCTGTGGAGTTTGGAAGCAGTGGCGGCGGTTCATCCGGGAAAGCAGGTAAGCATTGATTCGCTCTTGACATCAAAATTTTATCAGTTTCATTCTTATTTCCTGTTTGAAGAGAAAAAGTACACAGAATATATTTTAAAGCACAAAATGGGCACTGTCAGATTAAAACTAATGTTTCGGACAAATGTTTTTCTGGCCATTCAGTATATAGAAACTTTTAAGCGTATTGAGCAGTCGACCTTCTCAAAGTGTCTGGATGTGGCATAAAACAGTGTTTGATATAGCATCCCAAATGAAGTTTTTAAATTTTCAGCAAGCGGAGTGTTTTCTCGGTTGTTTTTGCTGTTTGTTTTTCGTACATTTTTAATGATTTAAGAACTTTAAGTTAGGTCAGTTGATAGAGAGCTCATGATCCCCAGGGGAAGGACCACTACGCAGGGTCTTAAAAGAAGTTGGTAAGAGGGTACTGTTTATTATCCAGCAAAATGCACCACCTTTCGACTCTACCTAAGTCGGCTTCAGTGCATTTCCAACAGGGGGCGTTATAATAGTGGTTGTTTACCATTCACAAAACGTTTCCTGACAATCCGCTAGGTCTTTCCAGCGAGAAAATTTCCGGGAGCAAAGGAACTTCTGAAAAGGTACTCCTGTTTTTTCCGAACAGAATAAACCAAGCGGAAATTCGTGTTCCATTTCTTCAAAGCCATCTTTGATACCAGTTTCAGGCCTTTCGCGGTTGTTTTTTTTGGAAAAAGGAACTGTTTTGTACAAATGGTAAACGCGATTCCGGGACGAAATTTAGCAATCCTTTTGTTTACCATTTGCCCCAACCACGGACTGACCGGTTTGCCCGTGTAAATAGTTCACAAGCAGTGTTTTTAATCTGTTCTTCGTGCCCAAAAGCTTGACACTTTCAACAAAGCAGTCTTTTATTGAAGTTTTGAACAAGATGCTATTCTTTACATTTTGGATTTATCCTTCAGGCACTGGGGGCGGCACAATTTTCTTGAATGTCTCTCACCTACTGGAAGTTGATGGAACCTTGTCAGCAGATGGTACGGACTCTCTTCGCCAAGGGGGAGGGGGTAGCGGCGGTAGCGTTTGGGTGCATTGCTACATCATCAAAGGCTTCGGTAAAATTACTGCAAATGGTGGCTCTTCTCCAGAGGACACTGTTTACCCTCATTACCATGGGGGAGGGGGTTCCGGTGGAAGAATTGCTGTCTACTTCACAAAAAATGATACTTTCTCATATTTCAGGTAAAAATGCGTTTACTTAAAGAAGAAAACGTTTACGCTTACAGTAACGCTCAAAATTAATCTTCAGGGAAAAGAAACTAGTTTTAAATTGGCCCAATATTAAACATAAATACTTGAAGTTTCTACTTGAAAATGTTTTATGTTTAGGAGCACTTATAAATGGACAGGCGATCTTTCAATTATTTGTGTTTTAAAAACGAGGTTTGAAAAGCCAACCTGTTCTGTGCAAAGCTCGTCTCACTTACACTTTTGTTGAGTAACAAGCATTTTTCTAAATGTTCTCGAAAGAATCTGTATATTCTTTGACTTTATGTTTGTTATTTTGCTCAAATTCAGTTACCAAGCTCACGGCGGAAAAGCTAAGGCGGGTTTAGAGAATGTGGAGAATGGAGGACCAGGCACAGTATTCCTCTACCACTTAGTTCACACACACCGCACTTTGCTTATCGACAATGATGGCGGCAAACCACTGAATAAACACATCAACTATGCAAAATTGGATGAGGAAGGTATATATCATTTATGTTGATTTGTATATGTGGTGGTATTTTTTTAAATTGTATCATTATATAATGCAATTCCTGAGTTTTTAATTGCTTATGAACCATGTGAAACGAGCCTTGATACCATGCGGGTACCACCGTCAATCGTTTCTTGGTTATTCTTACAAACCAAAATAAAAATATCCTGTGAATATTTTTCCTTTGTTTTTGC